ATAGTACAAGCCCAAGTCGGCTAAGGCCTAAACTGGCATGATCTAAACAGTTAGGCCCAAGTTGACCCATATTAAGTGGCTTAGGCCCATGAGAATATATATCTCCATATAAATACCCGGAAACCTCACAATTAAAGGTACGCAATTCATAACTCCCGAGCAGTCTCTTGTACTCTCTCAATTCTTCTATCATACAAAGCTGACTTGAGCGTCGGAGGGTTTTCGCCGGGACCAATCCCAGCGCCCTAACGACTTTTTGTGATGCAGGTAGTGCCCACGCAAGGAATCAAGAAGTGTGAGGGAAGAATTGCAAAACGTGACGTGGAATCGTACCACATTATTTTGGCGCCGTATGTGGGAAAACACTACCTGGTCATTGAGAATGAAGTTGCACTAATGGAGAACAGATGACGTTGGCAACGGCGGAAGAACAAAAGAAGTATCACTTCAAAATGCAACTTGGAAAGAAAAGAAAAGAGCCTTAAAGGAAGTTAAGCACTCCATAAAAGTCGGCAGAGAGATTGTAGGCTCAACCTGAAAGTCAGTGTAGACATCAAGCTCAGTCCTGAAAAGGTCCATGGTCCCTACGGAACAAGCGTTAACTCAAATTTGTGGAGATTTATTGATCACATTGACAAGTCCTCCAATGGCACGCCATTTCGTCGCCACCGGCTCCTCATTGATCAAGTTCTTTATGCACTCCAGCCATTCAACAATTTGTTATATGTTTGCAGGTTGTCACTTTTGAGTTGTCATTACTGAAGTCACTGGCATCCATAAAGCAGCCGCCGTCCAAGCCGGCACTATGCACAGTTTCTACCCGCAAATGCGGCCCAAAAACGCCACTTTGGCACACGAGCCACCACCTTGTGAAGCACCATCTTTGAATTATGATATATGGTTACATCTCTTTGCAGGTTACCTTTTGACATGTCATTATCAAAATGCGATGAACAAAGCAACCGCCATCCAAGCCGGCACTATGCACCGTTTCTACCCGCCAATGCGGCCCAAAAATGCCACTTTGGCACACGAGCCACCACCTTGCGAAACACCATCTCGAAATTATGATATATGGTTACATCTCTTTGCAGGTTGAAACCTTTTGAAATTTCATCACCATTGACATCATTTTTTGAGTTGTCGTCTCCCCATGCGGTATCGTTTGAATTGCCGTCACCCAACCTTGGAAGCAGCCATTTTACGAGCAACCACCTCGCGGATCACCATCACGAAATTGTGATATATGATTATATCTCTATGCAGGTTGACACATTTTGAAATTTTATCCCCATTGACAACATTTTTTAATTTGTCATCTCCCCATGTGGTATTGTTTGAACTGTCGTCACCCAAGCTGGGTACTTTTTGAATCATCTTCATCCAACACCTTTGTCATCACCCAAGATGACATCTTTTAAACAATCGTCACACAAGGTGGAAATTTTTTAATTACCATACCCAAGGCGGCATCCTTTGAGTTGTCATCATTCAAGATCCGACGCAAAATCGACAAGTCTTGTATCTGCACCCACAAACCGCCACTATGTGAAGACAAAAAGCCGTTACCTTCCACTTTGCCGTATCCGTCCAAGATGGCACCTTGTGGGCGAAACAAATAACGTCACGAAACTCACCAACTCATAAATAATCATATTGCAGGTTGCATCCCCTAAATTCGCCACCTCGCAATTGACAACTTCCATATAAGTCGACGTCTATGGTTACCACCGCTAGTCTTTTCAAAACGGCATACCTTGAACGCTCTCATTCTAAGACGTCACCTCTAATTAGTTGTCATCTTCAAAGATAGTATGACCATGTCCTTCCAAGACGACACATCTTGAGCCATCTTGCCGCTGATTGGCTTGTAATTAGCTGCCACCCAAAAAGTTGTTACCTCTAATTAATTTTCTTATTTCAGGTTGTCCCCTTCCAAGACGACACCCTTGATTTGTCTCATTCCAAGTCGGTACACTCTAAGCTAGCAACTCGCGGTCTGTCCTCTGGTGGCTTAGTTAAGAACTTGAAAAACTTTGAGATGGCATCCTATAGTCCATATCTAATTGGCTTGATCAAAGACCTTGTACACCCAGTCTTATGCTTTTTCGTTGATAATTTGGTGGCCAAACATGTGTTTTTTATGCAGGAAATTCCTCGTGAACATGTGTTTTTTATGGAGGAAACTCTTCGTTTCTCCCGATTTAATATGATTGTCGAGGGATTATTTTTATTCTCGAATATTTATTTCAGGTTCGAGAATTATCTTGAGGTCTTGACTGTCAATACAGGAATGCACCACTCTCTATTACTACTTGTCATTTCGGGGCAACACCATGATTCACGATTTTACGAATTGCTATTAGACACACGACTCTTGCAGAGCTCTATATAATCCGTTTAACATCAATCATGATATCACGAATTGTGCACAGACACACGACTCCTCTAGATCTGCCAACTTGAAAATGAAGTGTCTCACGAGTTGGCAAGCCATCAATCGCCACTTGATTAATCGTTGAGCCGCCCACGACATTATGAGCTGCCTACTTGCCAATGGCAAGACAAGCCATCAAATTTCACTTCTACTAATTATTGATCTGCCAACTTGGCGATGGCATGTCAATCGGCTGTCATTTCTACTAATCATTGAGCCGACACGACCTCACGATGCCTACTTGTTAATGATAGGGCAAGCTGTCAACTGGCACTATAAATTTTTGAGTTGACCACGGTCTCACTTGTTATTTATTTGTCAATGGCATGCAACCGCCATTTCTACTAATCGTTGAACAACTCACCGTCTCATGAGCTACCAATTTGTCAACGGCATCGCGAAATGCCCTACAACTATTTTCATCAATCGCCAAGTTGCTTCCACTACGAGCTGTCAAATCGACTAACTAAATCACAAATGTCCTTAACATGACTACACGCACTAACTACTCTCCATCAATTCTCGCTACCCGAGATTCGATTGAGAGTGGGGGGCTTATGATGGGTCCACGCCCAAAGGCCCATATCTACAAGCCCATAGAGGCACACAAACCAAGCCCAAATCGACTAAAGATAATAGTACAAGCCCAAGTCGGCTAAGGCCTAAACTGGCATGATCTAAACAGTTAGGCCCAAGTTGACCCATATTAAGTGGCTTAGGCCCATGAGAATATATATCTCCATATAAATACCCGGAAACCTCACAATTAAAGGTACGTAATTCATAACTCCCGAGCAGTCTCTTGTACTCTCTCAATTCTTCTATCATACAAAGCTGACTTGAGCGTCGGAGGGTTTTCGCCGGGACCAATCCCGGCGCCCTAACGACTTTTTGTGATGCAGGTAGTGCCCACGCGAGGAATCAAGAAGTGCGAGGGAAGAATTGCAAAACGTAACGTGGAATCGTACCACATCTTGTCTACCTTTAATCAAATGTGTTGGTTGGCCCCGTGACCGTGTGTATGTCACCCTAGACTAATCCTAAAAATAAAGATGAAAATAAAATAGAACGTGCGTTTTGGACATTGTAAAATGTGAAGCGCTTCCGTCACCCTTAATTAAGCACTTGAACATACCTCAACTTGAAACCTAATCACCACTCTAATATTAAAGAAAATCACGCAGTCTTATGCGACAACTTTACTATAATTACACACAATATCCTTCCCCTTAATACTGCATGAAATAGAGGTCTTATATTTTATTTTATTTTATTTCTCCTTTTCCGCTATCTTCATCACTTGGCAAACAAATAATTATAATAGCCTCGCACACACAGACCATATCACAAATTCACAATAATAAAGCACGAGCAATGAGCCTGAATTTTCTATTAGGATCGTACGCTACAAAATGCGGAGTTTAATTAGGTGGTGTACACCCCGATTTATATTTTTATTTAAATATCACAAAATAGAGTTTAAATTCTCACCGGATGAGTTGATTATGTACAATAATCGGATTCCATTCATATTATGCCACGTGGATGATTTAATTAACAAACTCTAAATCTAATTAAACTAAATTAATTTATCATAGTTGTAAATTTTGGGTTTTTGGGTTTCGGTTTTCGATTTTCGGGTTTCGATTTTCGGGTTTTGGGTTTTTGGGTTTTGGTTTTCGGTTTTCGGGTTTCGGATTTTCGGGTTTTCAGGTTTCGGGTTTCGGGTTTTTGTAGTAATTTTTTTATAATTTGAACAATTATATTTTTTTTCCTAAATTGTTGTTGGCTGAATGATTTTGGAGAGAAAAGTTTTATTTTTTATTAGTTTTTGTGTTTTGTATTAAATGGGCAAACCCACTTGTTATATAATATTGCCAAGAGAAATTTGAGATATGTCCACGTGTCAGTTTGTTAGTGGAATCCGATTATTGTCTTTTATAGGCCCATCCGACCTGAATGATCACCCCACAAAATAACAAAATTTTGTATTATTTAATTTGAAATATATACTTTAAACTCATAACCCGTGATTATGGAAAATACTTATAAATTATTCACATGCAAACTAGAATTGACTTTTTCAGAGTTTTTGTTTTGTGGGAAAAATGATGATTAAGCTGACGAATAATATAATTTTGGTAGGCTGAATAAATAAACTGTGGGTACTCTCAAAATTATTTAATTTGGAAGGGGGAATGAGCCCATAAAATTGTTGTCTGTTTTCACATGCCTGTGCGTGTCTTAAATAAGTTTGTTCTTTCCACCGTTAAGACAATTTGGATTTCTTTTGTTTCTTTGCCTGACAACATGATGTCCGATTTGGCGCAGTTGATCCCGTGAATTCAAATATTACTCTCTCTCTCTCTCTCTCTCTCTCTCTCTCTCTCTCTCTCTCTCTCTCTCTCTCTCTCTCTCTCTCTCTCTCTCTCTCTCTCTCTCTCTCACACATGCATATACACTATACACACAACTACTAACGAACTATCCAACTGCCCTTTTTTCTATATAAAGTGGCAACTCATGACCTCAGACAAAAGCACACAACTCCTATATATCAGACTTCTCTTAAATACATTCTACTATCTATATACACAAACATGTTTTGTGGAGCAAATATCAGCAACATTTTATGTTCAACTCTTTGCATGCTGTTCATTTTATCATGCTCTGCATTCACCTCACAAGATTACGAAAATGCCCTCGAAAAATCAATCATTTTCTTTGAGGGGCAGAGGTCAGGTAGATTACCACACAACCAGAGCCGTCTACCATGGAGGGGCGATTCAGGGCTATCCGATGGCTCCGGCTACCATGTAATTCTTTACTCATCTCATTCTCTTTATTTATTTATTTATTAATAAATATATAATATTTGGTTTTTGTGTTTTGTCAGGTTGATCTTGTTGGAGGTTATTATGATGCAGGGGACAATGTGAAGTTTGGATTGCCAATGGCTTTTACGACGACGCTACTTTCATGGAGTGTGATTGAATTCGGAAACTCAATGAAGAATCAGCTCAACAGTGCTAAGGATGCTGTTCGTTGGGGTACAGATTATCTTTTAAAAGCAGCCATTGCCACACCTGATGCCTTATACATACAAGTCAGTCACTACTACCTACAAAACCTTATTAATAACAACTTATGATATTCTTATGCCTCGTCTGGTTGCCAATAACTGTATTAATTGAACGATGGGAGATCCAGTAAAACAACTCCCTAAAAAGGCAAGATAAGCAATGATAAAATAATATTTGCGGTCGACCCTGTGAAAGTTATTGGATATACCAAACAATCAAACAAATTCCAATTATCCGCACGTCCGAAAATTTTCCGACCCGAAAAAAAATAATAAAAATTACGAGGACGTATGAAATTGAATTGGGCACGGTGGTTGTCGGGACCGTTTGGTCAGATTTCGAGAATTGCTTCGAAAACATCGGGAGCGACTAGTTTGGGCAAGGCAGTCCCGCACACCGGCCCAGCCACATAATTTTGTATCCTCGTTTAGTTAATTAAATGTATCCTTGGGTGTTATTTCATGTTTTTGTAATTAGTCTAATAACTTTTCAGAATTCTTTGGTCCTAATAAGATTGCAATTATTTAAAAAAAGAAAAGAAAAAACACGAATAATTGAATGGATGAAAAATAGGTGGGGGACCCGAACAACGATCACCGTTGCTGGGAAAGAGCAGAGGATATGGACACAACACGAAATGTGTACAAAGTTTCTTCTGAAAATCCAGGTTCTGATGTTGCTGCAGAGACTGCTGCTGCATTAGCAGCCGCTTCCATCGTTTTCAAAGACTCCGATCCTTCTTATTCCACTAAATTGCTTCAAACTGCAATCCAGGTTACATACTAATTTAATTACATTTTCTCTTCATCTTTATAGTAAATTGGTTTTCTAATTGTAATTTTTTAATTTGCAGGTGTTTGATTTTGCAAACAGGTATAAAGGGTCTTACAGTGACTCTCTTGGTTCAGTGGTCTGTCCATTTTACTGCTCATACTCTGGATACCATGTAATCCAATATTTAATTAAACCATTAGCTCCTATTTTTTAATTAGTATGCATGTTTTTTCATCAGTACTAGCAATTAATTAATATTAATTAGTGTGTCTTTGTTTCTATATACTACAGGATGAGCTTTTGTGGGCAGCATCATGGCTTCACAGAGCTTCAGAAAATGAGTCATATTTGACTTACATTCAGTCCAACGGCCACACACTCGGAGCCGATGAAGATGATTTCTCCTTCAGTTGGGACGATAAACGAGCCGGAACTAAAATCTTGCTCTCCAAGGTCTTCTTTTCTTTGCAAAATTAACTTCTTTCTTTGTCTGTTCAAAGACAAAGATATTAATTCAGCATTATCTATTTTGTTTTTGATTCCTGTGATAATTATTAGGGATTCCTAGAGGATAATATTGAAGATTTTCAGTTATACAAAGCACATTCAGACAATTATATATGCTCACTAGCTCCAGGATCACCTAATTTCCAGGCTCAGTATACCCCAGGTTTAATTTGTGGTCTTTCAGTGTAGATTCTTGATATATATATAAATTGAAGACTGTTGTAATTATTTTGAATTATCAGGGGGGCTTCTCTACAAAGGAAGTGAAAGCAATCTCCAATACGTAACGACATCGAGCTTTCTGTTGCTTGCCTACGCCAAATACTTGAGCAGCTCACAAGGAGGAGAAGCCGCGTGCGGTGGTGGCGGGACTTCAACAATAACTTCAGACAAGCTTGTTTCCCTTGCAAGAAAGCAGGTGGATTACATACTTGGAAATAATCCTGCAAAAATGTCTTACATGGTTGGATTCGGACAGAGATATCCACAACATGTTCACCACAGAGGTTCATCTTTACCGTCAGTACATGCACACCCGGCTCACATTAGCTGCGGTGACGGATTTCAGTACCTTAACTCAAGATCGCCTAATCCTAATATTCTTGTCGGAGCTGTCTTAGGTGGTCCCGATAATCGAGATAATTTTGCGGATGATAGGAATAACTATCAGCAATCTGAGCCTGCAACTTACATCAATGCTCCATTTGTTGGAGCCCTCGCTTTCTTCTCCGACCAATCAGCACAACTCGTCTGATATATATTGTCTATGTAATATAATTTGCATTGGAAATGAGTAACAAGGTGGCATTTATAATATACAAACTTTACCAAATTAATATGTAAGTTATATCTCAAAGATCAGTTTTATTTATATACCTATTTGACATGTCACCCAACGAATAACGTCGTCTTATGTTGAAATTAATTATATACGGATTGCGAACAACTCTTATGTCAAACAAAAACAAAACAAACAAAATACTAACAAATAACAAGTAGAAATAATTGCAGCCTTTTTTTTTCATTTGAAAATTTCAAATGAATTTCCGGCAAGGGCAGCCTTACCATTTACGTTGAATATCCGACACACCATAAGTCCAAATAGGGAGAACAAACACCACCTAAATAAAGCAACAAACATGTGAAAAAATTAGCACAATCTATATAGGTTTCTGGTTTTTCCATCCTATAAGAGTGCCATAAACTTAGCATCAACACAAACTAGGGAATTCTTTTTTATTTATTGCAGACGGGTAATAGATCGGGTACCGAAAATTAATTCCCTAGTCAACTATGCAGATCTGGGAATTGGTGATTCAAAACTATTGTCATCACTATCCGAAGATGAAATATCGTATCTCAAATTCTGAAACCGACTCAGCAAGTTGGACTTGCATTTCTGAATATCATTATACTCCACGGAATCTGGAGTGGATCTGATGATAGCTATTGCTCCAGCTTCATGTAAAGCCCCGACAGCTTCATCTGCATCAATAACAGCCATTAAAACAATACATTGTATTGCATAAGACTTCGTCGCTTAACTAGATTAACAGTTTAATTCCAAAAAAAAAAAAACAAAGCTGATACATATTGAATCAAGATGTGTTCTACTGCATAAAATGTTCCGATTGTTAAATTTTTTGTGTTTGCTATATCTCATGGTTTTGTGAAGCCAACAGTTGAATCACAACCTAGGTTTACATAGTTATTTATCGCATAAAACCAATTTGTTAAAATTCGTTATTGGAATTCAGAATAATTCCAAAAACAAAAATGAAAAAACAGGTTTTGTGACGCTTATCAAACAACAATGACCCAGCAATAGTGTCCTTAGATAACATTTAGTAGATTTTTGCCTATCTTTGGAATTTCAGAAAGAGAAAAATAGCCTTCATGTGTTGGTTAATAAATGAATTCCAAGAAATAGGAATATAATTGAGGTTGCTTCTTTTCAACAATCAGCACTGATCTATTGGGAAAACTCCTGTTACTCTTTCGGAAGGAAATAAAAGTGCAAAATTTCTCGAGTGTCTTTTGATTGATCACAAATCCAATAAAAAAACAAATTATATATTAGCGATGGTTGCTTTTTAATTGCATAAATCTGAATATACGAAGGTCCTGTGTCGGTATGCGTTAATGGAAAGATAGTTTAAAGGAAATGGTTAGTGGAGTTGTTGGTGACTAATTAGTCTAACTAACCACCTTTAAGTGATGACTTATTTCGAAGGAATATGAAACTAACAACTAGCATCATTTTCGCTCTCACTGCTCTTGTGTGTTTTGTTGGGAGTTAGCAGAAAATTGATTCACGTACAAAAGAAAATCCTAGTTTGACTACCAAATGATGAGCACGTGTACATACATGAACATAGATCAAAGGGTTCAGATCTACTAAAATCTACAGTCAATTCCCCATCGAAGATCATTTCTTAACATACATACTTCCAAAAAAGGAAAAACGAGAAAGAAAACAAAAAAGAACACAAACAACATAAGCCTAACCTGACTTTGAGAGAGCAACCAGAGCATTCAAAGCTTCCTTTCGAGTACGGTCATCTTTTGCAGACGCTAACATATTTACGAGCTCCCGAGCTCCTCCCTTTTCAACTATTTGCATTCTCCTTTTATCTGCCAATCAAAAGGATTTAAGATTTCATTTAAAAACATTAGATATCAAGCAAATACTAGATATAACAAGTATTCTTTCCACTTCTAATTTAGGTACAAACATGAACATCTCATTCTTCTCGAGCCACAGCCTGTCTAGAATCTCAAATACAGATTAGATTTACAAGCTAGTCATCATATTCAAATCAGGGTTAAAGAGGATGATCTCTTCATTAGCAGAATATCAACTAACCGATCATAATAAGATAGTTTAGCTCATGAAATTTCCCACTCATCTGACATAAATATGCAAGGAAACAGAAAATCAAATTTGAACTTATTTCATTCTAGGGGGAGACCGTATTTGGAGGACTAGCCTTAAAGTACTAACCACTTGTGAGAAATCTGAGCTCAAACATTACCATCTATGGCAAAACGCGCTAATCGGGATGCTCCCATTCTTTTGAACAAAGGATCTTTCACGCGTAAAAGTGATACAGACTGCTGCATCACATTTTCTCCTACATAAGGTAAAAAAATATATATAAACAAAATACGAACATCCAAATTTTAATATAAAGGTGTGGAATAACTAAAAATTGGCTAATCCTTCTTCAATAAACATACCCATGTATGGAAATATGTTGTAGCCAATGACAGTTGCAGTCCCTGCAAAAATTAGCTTCAACACCCATCCTATTTTTCTTTCTGCCTCCTCTTCCAGTGCACGTTCGTCTAGTACAGTGGCATTGTGAACTTCTAATTTAAAAGACAAAAAATAAGGAAAAAACATTATTCAGTATTAATATACACACTAAACTGCAGGAACTGAAATTAATTAATAAAGGATCTTTAATTTGGTGAACATGAAAAAAGATCATTCGTAAATCATAAGGGGGGATATCCATGAACAAACCTCAAATGTGAGTGGAGGAAACATGAATATCAAGCGTTGAATGGCAATTCACTAACTAATAATATGTATAAGTTTCTTGTCGTGGAATAATACTACAAAGGCGTTCAATTTACAAATCTATGCATGTCTTCGCAAGTGTTAAGAAAGAAAAAAAAAAGGTCTTTGTCTTTGGCTCTTTGCAGTTAAATACAGAGTTTCACTCTCTAATAGTTTTAGTATTCAAATTCCTAAGCAAGACTACATGAATACAAACTTAACTGCATCCTTTTAAAGTCAAATACGCATAAATTCAGCTAAAAATACCAAACAACAAACATACGATTAACAGAAAGCCCTCCCCACCATACTATCACACAAATTGTTCCAAATTTGATGGATGTCAAAAAGTTGAAAACCACTGGATATTTAGAGAAAGGAAACCCTGAACTGAACTCAAGACTCAAGTTAGTCACTGACAAGCATGGTTGGACATATGGTACGTCTTGACTTTAGGTAATTATCCTTCGCAAAAGCAACACAACTAAATTTATTAAAATTGCATCTCCAAAATTATTCAAGACACATCAACTATTAACAAAAGTAGAAACAAGTTTCACATCGAAAAGACAGAGAGAATAAACAGTAGAAGAATGACGCCCACCTCTTTTGTTGCATGATGACGAGAAATTTTTAGATTGTACATTGACAGCATTCTTTCTGCATAAATACTGCATTTCAAAATCAGCAAAGAACACAATAAAAGTAAAATATCCAAATTAACTAAAAGATACTTTTTTTCCTTTCCAATAGTCCAGAAATAATAAATAATTTAATTTTTAAAAAAAAAAATTGCTTCCAATGTACTTCAAATGAGAAGTAAACAAAGAAACGGAATTGTCGAGCCTAAGTAAACTGACAAAAAAATTCAAAAGAAAAATAATTATGCAGAAATAACAACAAATCAAAGACGCAAAAATATAGTATGAGCGGTGAAGGAAGAATATTTAATTGATCAATTGGAGACCTTCCAATTGTCAATCAAGCTAAGGCTAGAGCAAATAATTCTTCGACAGCGAATAATTAAAAAAAAAAAAGTTGATCGGATTCGGACCTGAAATTTGATGGGCGTCTTTGAATTTTCGTTAAGCAAGACTGAAAAACCACGGGAAGGTTTGGGGCAGTTGACCACTGCTTTGTTGATCAACAGCTTAACAACGCGATTCATGAGGAAATGTTTCAGTAATTACAAGCTCGGATGAGATGTTAATACGGCGCAGCTTAGTCGACGGTCGGCGCTGTGGTTATTCGGCCCTCAGGATGGATGAATGACTCGGAGTTTGGATTTGGACTCAGCTGTTTTGGTGGACTCGGCCCACTAACGATAATTACCCTTAGGCCTGTTTTTGTTTAAAAGAAATGATCGGATTCCACATTTAGAGCCTGTTTGGCTAAGTTTATAAGCTCCTAAAAATATCTTATAAAATGTTTAAGAGCTTATAAAGCTGTTAAAAGGTGTTTGGTAAAAAAATTACAAAAGATCTTATTTTTATAAAAAGGGCAAATGACAAATAGGCCCGTGACAAGGGCATTTAATTAAAAGAGGGACATTCAATTTTTTTGTCTTTTAAATAAATTCAGCTCATTCAATCTTATTTGCAAATAAGGAAAGGGATCATTAGCAATACACCCCTCTTATAGATAAAAACTAGTGATAAGTCCATACCATAATTCTTCCTTTGTGAAAACCCCCTAGAATATTTAATTCCCATCTTACCCCTCTAGTAACATCTCACGTTTATTTTTTATATTTATATATTATTATCAAAATCCCTATTAATAAGGGCCCTAATCCCGCTATTTCTACTTAATTATTTAGTTTCCCTAATAAACTGCTCTTAATTAAACATTTAAAAAGAAAAAAAAAATTAAACCGCATCATCGTAAAGAAGGAGACCCACATATTGGGATTTTTCCCCAAAATCAAAAACTGGCAAAAAATTCAAAATACTAGCAGCGAATCTGTAGTCACATTCCAAAATCAAAGATAGTTGCTACAAAATCGTCAACCCAATTTCCCCCATTCACAGTCGAGTTTTATTGTAGTGGTGTTTCGGTAGTCAAAATCCCGTAAATTTCAGTTGCGATAGTCACATTCGAGTCTGCTTTTTGAAATGAAGAAGAAGGCGTCACAGAAGCGTAAACGAAGACCCAATCCTGCGGACATTATGCATCTTGATGCCGGTTAGTTTGTATACCTAAATCCTTTGTTTTTGCTGATCAATTTTTTGTACCATATATTGCCAAAAATATATTTTTTGTGCCCGTAGATCCAATAATTTCACTTTAAGGGTTCCTTGGGATGATATATGGTTGCATCATGACTATATGTGACTGTACTACATACACATTGAATCTATGGTTGTTCGGATTTCATTGAAAAGTGTTCTGTATGTATGCCCAAACTGCAATTTAACCAATGGTAATAATGTTCTGACTTCTAAACATTCTCGGCATTCCCGATATTGGGCTTGAAGATTCCCGGACTTAGGAGAACTGTGGGCTTCAAGACCATTGGGCTGACCCAACATTTTGGAGCAACATCATTTTGGCGTCGTCTGTGGGAATGCAAACTAGATCGCGTGTCATGAACGGAGGTGGTCAAGGCGATCTTAACCAGCCGCCTTGATGAAGCAACAGCAACCAGCCGCCTTGAGAAAGCAACGGAGTCTTAGAGCCGCCTCGAAACAAAAGAACTACGGGAGCGGCCAACGAAGGGGATCAAGGCAATCCCAACCACTCGCTTCAAGGTAGCGGTGGAGTCTCAGAGCCGCCTCGAAGCAAAAGAACTACGGGAGCGGCCAACGAAGAGGATCAAGGCAATCCTAACCACTCGCTTCAAGGTAGCGGTGGAGTCTCAGAGCTGCCTCGAAGGAAGAGCTGCCTCGAAGGAAAAGAACTACGGGAGCGGCCAACGAAGAGGATCAAGGGAATCTCAACCAGCTGCCTCGAGGTAGCGGCAGAGTCCTAGAGCCACCTCGAAGGAAAATAAGTACGGGAGCGGCCAACGAAGAGGGTCAAGGCAATCTTAACCAATCTCTTCAAGGTAGCGGTGGAGTCCCAGAGCTAGCTCGAAGGAAAATATCTACGGGAGCGGCCAACGAAGGTGGTCAAGGAGATCTCAACCAACCGCTTCAAGGTAGCGGTGGAGTCTCAGAGCCGCCTCGAAGGAAGAGAACGATGGGAGCGGCCAACCTTGCGGGATCTTCAGCGCCGATCATCTAGATGACTGCAGAGGAATTACAAACCTTAATGGAGAAGACGGTGGCCAAAGTAGCAGCGACGGACGCTGTAGCCCAATATATCAATGCTCAAAGCACAACTGACTTTGAAGAAACTATTCATATGGGAAGCGATCCTACGGATTCCGTGCATGTCTGTACCACTCCGCCAATCGTGGAGCTCCATGTCTCAGAGGAAAGAGTATCGCTCAACGGCCAAAGTTATTCCTCCGAAAAGGTTCCTTGAAGATACGCTCACCACCACCCGTCTCAGCGGAGCACATCCTCAGACCGCGCGCCTCGAAGAAACGTTCACCACCACTCGCCTCAATGTAGCACATCCTGAGACCGCGTGCCTCGAAGATACGCTTACCACCACTCGCCTCAGCGTAGCACATCCTCAGACCGCGCCTCTAAGAAACGCTCACCGCCACTCGCCTCAGCGTAACACATCCTCAGATCGCCCGCCTCGAAGGGAAGCATGTCGCCAATCACAGCGTCCACTAAGGCAAAGAGCCCGAGCCCCTTCAAGGGAGAGAGCGACGCAAAGCCTTCGCACGAGAAGCGGTTATTCCCGGCCGTATGACTATCGTCAAAGGCATCGAGGCGGGAGACACCGTGAACATGCGCACCACAACGAAAACTCCTTCGAAACCAACTCGGAAGTAGAGTTTCCCGACACCAGGAAACAAGAAGGCATCGAGCAGGCTCAGGCGACTGTAACTCAAGGAGTCCTCGGCGAGAAGACTCGGGGTCGACGGCCGCTCACTTTGGGGCATTGTCCACCCGAATTACCCATTTATTCGTGCCATTATGGAAGAAGTGTTGCCTCTCAAATTCAGGATCCCAATCTCCCCTAATTCGACGAAACCGGGGATCCCCAAGATCACTTAAATAATTTTTACGCCAAGATTGACCTCTACGATCTTAGTAATGCAGCTCACTGCAAGATTTTTCGGACCACGCTAGCTGATCAGGCACAAATTTGGTAAAACGGCTTGCTCGAATGGTCCATAGATAACCTGGACCAATTAACGACGATTTTCCGTCACCAATACTCTATAAGCAAGAAATACGCCAAACCTGGTCGTATCTCTTCAAGGTCATACAGCGGGACGGAGAGTCGCTCATGAATTACCTGCAACGATTTGTCAAAGCAGTACATGAAGTGCCCCTCCTTAATCACGAAATGTTAAACGACATACTGCAACACAATTTGAAGCATGTTCGTTTTCAAGAGTACATCGAAGGCCGACCCCCTATGACCCTAGAGGAGCTCCTGAATCGCACTGAGAAGTACATTCGAATTGAGGAGACTGCAGAGATGAGGGTACCCCTTAAGGGAAAGCGCGATGAGGGAAGCCACAACTATAATAGAAAAGAAGAGCGGCGTCCCGTAAAAAATCGCACATTCGAGAAGTTCTCACCTCTTAAGGATAAACTTGTTGACATGATGATCATTGCAGAGTAGAAATGAATTCTACAACCACCGAGATGGATGAAGGAGAATACATAACGATAAAATTCGGACGATTACTGTGAATACCACATAGATCGAGGTCACACTACTGATGCGTGTTTTCATCTTACGCAAGCGCACAGAAGGCTTGTCCAAAACGGGCACGTGAGAGAATTTCTAGAACAATCGCAATTCTGAAGAAATACTTTACTTAGTATTTACTATTGCCCCACGCAGGCCCCATGTAATTTTTTTTCAGCAATAAGTCGGTGGCATATCGCCCCGGACAATATTTTCAAGGCATACCAACCAACCGCCTCGAGGAAGCGACGGAGTCTCAGAGCCGCCTCGAGGTAGCGGCAGAGTCTTAGAGCCGCCTCGAATCAAAATAACAACATGAGCGGCCAACGAAGAGTGTCAAGGCGATCCCAACCATCCGCCTCAAGGTAGTGGCGGAGTTCCGAAGCCACCTCGAAGGAAAATAATTACGGGAGCGGCCAATGAAGAGGGCCAAGGCGATCCGAACCAACCGCCTCAAGGTAGCGGTGGAGTCTCAGAGCTGTCTCGAAGGGAAACAACTACGGGAGCGGCCAACGAAGAGTGTCAAGGCGATCCCAATCAACCGCTTCAAGATAGCGGTGGAGTCTCAGAGCCGCCTCGAAGGAAAAGAACTACGCGAGCGGCCACGAATGTGGTCAAGGCAATCTTAACCAGCCGCCTCAAGGTAGCAGCAGAGTCCTAGAGCCCCACTTCGAAGGAAAATAACTATGGAGTGGCTAACAAAGGTGGTCAAGGCGATTCCAACCAACCCCCTCAAGGTAGCGGTGGAGTCCCAGAGTCGCCTCGAAGGAAAATGATTACAGAAGCAGCCCACCCAGCGAGGTTTTCGGAGCCGGTCGCTAAGATGTCGGCGGAGGAGTTGCAAGACATGATGGATGAAACGGCGGTTAATGCAGCAGCATGGGCAGCGACAGAGGCGGTGGCGCAGTACGTTATTTCTCGAGGCGGAGCTGACTTCCAAGAGCCAACTCCGACGGACAACGATCCTTTGAATTCTATCCATATCCAATCCACCCCGTCGATCGTGGAACTTTACGACTCAGAGGATAAAGTGACACTCAGCGACCGAAGCTTCTCCTCCGAACGAGCCCCTCGAGGATACGCTCACCGCCAATCGACTCAGCGCGACCCGTCATATGAAACTGCCTACGTTCCGTGAAAATAGGCTTGTTAAATTTATTTTCTAGACTAGTTTATCACATTTTGATATTTTGAGGGGTTATTTCGTTTAACTTCTCTTGTTGAGACAATGGTATCAAAAATATATGTGACTTTAAGTTATTTGTGTACAACTTATTATTTATGCATAAGTTGCGTTTTGATGTATTGCGCCATGCTTTTTTTATGACATCCTTTGAATAGTAGATTTAATGTTTTCTTGCAATGTACTCTTAACAAATCCAGTATTACAATTTAAAATCTTCTATCTTCTGAAATCTACTAATGTATCATTTTCCTTGTCAAAATAATTAATTCAGAGAGTGTTTACAAAGACGATTGTTGTATACAATTGATCTGCTACGTGGTTTTAAATCTACTGTTGTAGTTCCAGTTAAAAATTCATATAAAAATCTACTAGTTATTTTAAATCCACAACTACAAAGGGGATCACAAAACCAGATCTTCTGTATTTTCCAGCCAAAACCACTGTTTATTGTTTAAACGCCACTATTTATTTTTACAATCCATTGTCCACCTTTAAAATCCACTATATACTGCATAAGCCATCGTTTTGAAAACAAACCACTGATTATTTTCAAATCACCTTGTCTGTTTGAAAACAACTTCTTCTTATGGTCTACCGAATATAGAAATCCACTATATACTCATCCAAAACAACTATAAGTTTATTGAAACCCGATAAATTTATCCAAAATCACTATGAAATTACCATAAAATTCACTATGAAATTAATGTAATCCAATTCAATATTAGCGCAATTTTATAACAAATAAAAAAAACTTAATCCACTATTTGAACCTACAACTTTATAACATCATCAAGTTAAGAGAGTATGTCTTTCAATCCAGCGGCTTGTGCTGCGACGGCGTGAATTTGCAGATGACTAGGCCAGAGGATTGCAACTAATATAATTCACCTAGAAAAAAATATTAAAATCACATCAAAAAAATGTAACGAACCAAAAAAATGGTGGCACGGGGAAACTTGAATCCGAAAAGCATCAAATAAGTCCAGTGAAAATTTCTCTTAGTAAACTCAAACTAATGTCATACTTCTCTTACCAAAACCAATAAGGTTAGTTCGTCAACATCGACTAATTTCTACTACCACAAATCAAATTGAATAAAAAAACTATGAATGCCAAACTTTGATCACATTAATTTAGTGAAAATAATAAATCGATAAAATCATAAATCAGAATTTGCAATTAGATGGTAATATTAACATTCAGCAGGGGCAGAGCTGCGCACCCATCAAGGCAGCGGCCTGGCATCTCCGCTGGCTGGGCGGCAGCAGGGACCGGAGAGGGCGTACCAGGGAACACCACTAGGGGCTTCGGGGATGCAACACAACATAAAGGTGCTCCACCAGAGGAGTAAGATCCTCTTTTCACCGGAGAAAATGGTGGTTGGTGGATTTGGCTGGCAAAAATGGCGGTAAGCGGAGAAGAAATAGAGAGAGACGTTGAAATTTGAGAACGTGCAAAATAAATACGGAACATATCCACTTAATTCCATTCATAAATATAGGACCATACACATGTACAAGGGTATTATGGAGAAAATATAATTAAAAATATTGTTTATTATACGTTTGGATTTATCACTAAAATGAGAATTTTTTTGGATCTTTCCTAAGTGCAAAAGGCATTTGGGGGTTTTCTCAAATAATCCCGAGTGATGCTTGTTGGTCTTTCCTTGTCGTGTTGATAATTAACTCAATACTAAAGAGGGGTTAAGTCCAATAGAAATCACGTACCTTCAAATGTTGATTATGCTAAGATTAAATAAATAAAACATCACAAGAGTTTTACTATCAAATCGATGTGGGATGGGATCAATTCTTTTTATTGTAGTTAAGGGATAAGCTACATCGGATATAATACAATACTATTAAATCATCATTTACATATACATAAACCTATCATAGAGCATTAGCCACACCATGAACCTTGACTTCTGCTTCAATGAGGCATATATTTTTCACAAGCAAACCGGCCGCAGACGATACAATATAACCTTGGGAAACGTATCTTGGCCAACCGCATGTTGGGTTTGATGCACTGAACCAATAATTAGCTGCAGTTGAAAAATGCAAATTGGAATTATAAATTGTAACAAAATCATCATGTATTTGTTTTATTATGAATTGATATATCTCTTATAAATAAGAGATTGTATTTTAATTACCAGTTCCAAAATAGTGGTTTCGATTAAGTTGGTCTAGAATGCGTATCGTAAATTCAGCATATAGTTTAGTTTTCGGTAGCAATGTTTCTGGTTCAGCTAAAGTCAGATACATAGATACGTAGCTATCAAGGCCACTCCCTTTTCCCTTAGGATAGACTTGTATCTTCCTGTAGGTTTAAAGTAATTAAATCAGTATTTTTTTTTTTCTAGAAAGTTAATTTGTGTGACAAATGATCGAGAAAATATTAATTAGAATATTTTAATTACCATTTTTGACCAGCAGAAGTGAATGGCTTGGAGTCTGCACTTTCATCGGTTATACCGGAGAAATTGTCAATTCTCCAAGTGCTTTTATAGGTAATTGGATCCTTTATCATTGATAAACATTCTCCTTTTCCTGAGAGTTTTTCTCGACAAACGTAAACCTCCGCTCCAAATACGCAATTGTCGTTGACCAGATATCCATTGGAAGGATCCATGAAGGCTGCGAGAGGGATGAACTTATTGAATCCCCATTCGAGTTTCATTCCGTGAAACCGCCTCCCGTTTTCTGTTGTGTCTAAGATAACAATAGAAATAATAACATTGAATATTTGATAGAGAATGTAGTGAATAAACACTCTTGATCTGAATGAGTAGTTTACCTTGGAGGGTTATGAAATTGTCTTTGTTCTGATCAAGTAGAAAAAGTCGGAAAAATGCTCGAATCTCCCAACCGGGATTGAATGAATTCGATTCGGCGAGAACCAAGTATAGGGAGATATGATCGGTAATGCCTTTGTTTTTGTATCCATTTGGGTGAACAACCAATTTCCTGTAGGCAGGATAAACACATTATACATATTATAATTAAGTTGTGCCGATGAATAATACAGGCGCAACGCCCTCGAATATTTTTAGATATATATCATTTTCAAATATTTGCTAATCAAAACTAGAATGATTTATACGTTTCACTTGAATTTGAAAATTTTATTTTTATAAAACAAAACGTACATACTAATTAGTTTAATTTGAAAACAAGAATTTAAAGCAAAATTAATTGTATTTAAAAAAAGAAAAGAGATATGTTAATATTCTATAGGCTATAACTGTATTTGTTAAGTAAATAGGCTATTGCATCGGCAATTTATAATCCTTCAAAAGGTATGGACACTTTTTAATTGGGTATCACAGAAGTTTATTGGGTTTATATGGTAAATAAAAAAAAATTGGCTAGAGTTTTGATACAGGGCCTAGAGCCGACACCGTATTTAGGCCGAAAATCTTGTCGCTATGTTGTCGATCCAGTTGCATCAATAAAATATCATAGTGTAGTTTTTTAGCAATTCGACATAACACAAAATACTAATTGCAGTAAACTCCAAATTAAATATATTGAGATAAAACATAATTTAGGGACATAAAAAGAAATATACAAAATGAGGATCTAATGCCATCGTTTTATTTGTTCATTGTAGAGATCGAAATCATTACCATTTGTATCCTCCAGCTTCGAAATCACTAGAAGTATAGCTCTCTATGTTGTTCTTTGCGAGTTGTGAAAATAACTGAATTTTGACTATACAATGTGCCGGTGTTGTATCTGAAACTGATCTTGACACACCTATTAATGTGAACAAAGAAGAAGTACATGTAAATTATAAGTGAAAGAGGCGTCGAAAATATAGATTCTTATTTGAGTTTATTGAAAATAATACCCTTTTGTTGTATCGAATTGCTAAAACGCTAACCCGTGTTATTTTATTGCTCATATGATTTGATTTTTTTTATTTTTTTTTGTGCTAAAACAAATCAAATCATTTAGCAATTGAATATACCACATTGAGTACTAATTGCAATAAACCATCTTATTGATAACTACTTATGAAAAGCCTTAGGAAAGGACAAGACAAACCATCTTGTTGAGGGAATGAAAGGTCTGCTGCCATTGATGAAGGAATTAATAATACGTCAAAGAGATTAAAGATTGTAGACGTTTGTGAAAAATAAATAGTGTTGTGTTTAATATGAATATGATGGTCGAGCTTATTTATAAGGACGAAAACGGAGAAAGCATTAGTTCCCAACTACTTAGAAGACTTTATCCTTTGCTTTATTCTAATTTGTCGTCTTTACAAGTAAAACAAAGGTATTGATTGTCATAACAAAAGCAATATTTGCTACAAAGTACTACACATTCCCCAAGACTAGTGATGCGTAACATTTATGCTTTTTAGGGATTGTAATTGAACAAAAGGCGGAGTGCAAGTGTGGCAACGGGGACTGATTGTCCCCCAAGACTTTTTATTTTTCTGGTGTCAGGAAAAACGCAAATTCTAACTTTATAGTGCATTCTATACACACAACCGATTATGATATTCGATTGTGAGCTGCGTATACATGGGGAACTTAAGCGACCACGTCATTTGATTGTGGGCTGCCTAAACCCGGGTCTCCCCATATGGACAATTGCTGTCAAATTCAGGCTAACAATCTCCTGATCAGCAATTATTCCAGCAGGAAATTGAATCTGTGACATTGGCTCTGATACCACTTGTACGACCTGAGGCGCTACCAGATGTCATAAAACTAATTGGTGTCAGGAAATGCGCAAACCTTAGCTTTAAGTGCATTCAATACACACAAGCGCCCACGTCATTTGATTGTGGACCGCCCATACCCGAGCTTTCCCCACATGGACAATTGCTGGCAAATCCAGGCTAACAAATATTAACTTGGGCCGTTACTAAGTACCAAGTTCAACTGTATTAGGCGTTTGTGTTTTGGACTTTTAACTTTTAACATGAAACATTATTGAACGTCAAGAATAAAAAAGAAAAAAGAAAAAAAAAATTAGCTTGGCCAATTTGAAATTATCAAGTGACGGTTTCACGCAAAACTACATACTCTTAGGGCTATTTTGCTTCGTTGGTTGGGATCGGATGGGATCCCACATCCATCCCCAATAAACACTGTTGGGATATATGAAATTGTGTCTTTATCTCATATTAGGTTTCACAGATTCGTAGCTACGGATAGCATCCGAGTGAATCATTCTGCCGTTAGGTACGTTGGATTGACTGGTAAATGACGGTGAATGACATTTTTAGCCCTCAAAAATTCTATTTATTGAATTCATCCTCCTCATATACACGGTCTTCTCTGCTCCAAAAATTAGAAAAAAATAGGGATTCTCTTCTTCCTCTATCTTGTACTGCTCTATTCTAAAAAAATTTTTTGAAATTCAATAAAAAAGTTTGAAGGCCACATGAGCAGCAACAGCAGTTCGTCGACATGTCGGCAACGGACAGGGCGCCATTTTTTCTGTGATGAGTTGAACGGCCATACTCACCCATTTGTATGCAGTTGTGGGTTGGAAGTTGTTGTCCAAACTTCGTGGACTACGGCTAATCCCGGTCGCCGTTTTGTGAGTTGTCCGAAAAGGGGGGTAAGACCCCGATTTGTGCCGGAAAAACGATCCAACCCATGATTTTTACTGTCGACTGTTGGGAAAAACAGTAGAAATGCAAACTTTAAAAATATTCTCTACCTCATACATCCATCGAACACATCACCTTTTCTTGATGTTTCCAAAATTTTCCATACTTTGTCTTCCAATAATGTAGAGAATATTGTCTTCTTTCAAAATCTGCAATATTCCCACGCCATTGCCCAAATTTTCAACAGATGGATGATCAACAACATTGAAAAGTTGCATTCAAAACAACTACATACTTCCACTATACAACACACAGGAACATAACAATAGACTCACCAACTCTTGCAATGGCACCAAAAAAATCCATCCGGTTTCGTCAAGAAGATTTTCTTTACGACCTAAATTGGGATGACAAAATCGATAACTTTTTCATTCAAGTGTTGGCTTAAGAAGCACGTGTAGGCAATTTTGTTGTTGGAAAAGACAACAAAGAATCACTAGCTATGGCTCAAAACGTGATTGAAAAAAAACATGACCAATTCTTCTCTACGAAATACATGTTGAAAAAAAACATGGCCATCACTTGCGGGCTTGTCTTGTTTTGTCAAGTCGTTAACCGCATCGAAGAGTGCTTCGGCACTCTCACCGGTTGCCCGATCTTTTCCAAATATAATAGTCCAATCACTATAGTACGGCCATGACTTGAAACGCATCAAGCGAGCATTTGGATCGGACTATTAAAAAAAATAAAAGCGATTTAGTTGAATGTAAGTAAGCATGCAAGTAGTTGTACAGTAACTTAATTTGATATTAAAGTGTTACCTTCACGTAATCGTTCCAAACTTGGTCATCAATGACGTCGATGGTATTTGCCGCGTGATTCCAACAAAACCCCGAACGGGTTAGCATAGTGGACAACGATCCATATTGCTCAACTGCCTCGTACGCTGCTAAGACGACTAATTGTTGTTCATTGTTGTTCGCCGCCATTAACTTAATGTAATAAAAATTTCACAAAATCAAGATAACAACAAAGAATAATTAAGTGAACAACAAAAACATAGCATAAATATTACCACAAAATATTACCACCGCACAAAGTGGGAATATTGTATATTCTATTTACACTCAACACACACTATATGTTTATACACATATAAATTGGAATACCACACAAATATGGAAAATACACAATTTGATTCACTAGCACCCACAGCATACAAAGTACCCATTTCCATGTTGAATAAAAAATAATATTAAAAAAATTAGCTACTGTTTCAAAATTTCAAATTTAATGTGAGAGGTTACCAAAGCTTTTTGCAGTTTCAATGACACCGAATACCCACAATTAGAACCTCTTATTAATTGATTGTGAAAAAATTAGCCACACAAAAGACAGTAAACGTGTATAGGTCGCCGTGGAGATTAAGAAACATGGAAATACAATCGTACAATGGGTAAATTATAATTACTCTCTTCACAAGTGCAAGTCACCGTGGAGATTAAGAAACTAACCTCAGGAGGTGATAGGTCGCCGGAGTACGTCCGTCGCCGTAGAGTCAGGGTCGCCGCCTGCTAGAAGCCGCTCAAGCCCGCGAGATCCACCGGTTCAGATCGCCAAAAAGAAACTGCGATTCATAACTTCAGCAAATATAAATTTGTTACAAAGAACATGAACAGATGAGAACCAAATATTGTACTAAATAACCAGAAAAAAATCAAAGAATTGAAAGAGGGAAGAAACCAAATGCGCTGCTAAGTAATTGCCTAG